GCTGCTGATGCTCCTACTGAGAATGAGTTCTGGAACCTAGAAAAGGTCACCCTAAGCCAACTTCTAGGAAAGGATCAGGCATAGATAAGGAAGAAACCAATTGCACGCCCTTTCAAAACTAAAATTATGCCACCATCCAAAGAGTTACCAGCTGTGCTTCCTCTCAAAAGCACCCAAAGCCAGCACACCAAGAAATAGAGGAGGAAGGAATTTTGCAAAATTGCTCCACATCCAGAAAATGGGGGAGGGGGTGTCATCAACCATGTTGTCCGTAAGCCATTCTTCTTGCCAGAAGCCTCAGCTGCAATTTTCTTGTGCAGGATTAAGATAATTTTGGACAGTTCCAAGACTGATAACATTAAGCTAGCGTTCTGTCCTTTACAAAACAAAAACAAAAAGAAAATTGTTTTCTGTGTCCTCCAAAGAGATGGGAGAGCTTCTTGGAAAACTTAGTAGAACAACTTCTTACTTATGAGTGTTATGTAGATGTTGTGTAAGATGTCTACATAAGCAAGCAAATAATTCAGTTCAGTATTATTGCTGTAGAAACACAAAAGGAGTACTGCTCTGAGCTCTGTGAGTGCAGCTTTTTTCCAAATGAAGCAGAAAGTGTTTGAGGACCAGGGCATCCGTAGGGATACCAAGGTGCTTGTTTATAAAGCTCTTGTCCTCCCAATCCTGCTATACACCTGCAAAACGTGGACTGTCTACAGACATCACATGCGACTCCTGGAACGATTCCATCATTGCTGCCTCTGGAAAATCCTGCAAATATCTTGGGAAGACAAGCGGACAAACGTCAGGGGCAGTGGTGAGCTCCTTCTGTTTGGAAGTGAGTAGGACAAAACATGCAGGTATTGTGCAGTACATGTTTAGTGTGGGAACACTCCTGTTTAAATATTTAAAAACAGTAGACTGAACACGGTGGCATAGATCTTTCCTAAATGGCAGGTTGCAATACTTGTTTATGCATGCCTAATTCACCAGTGCTTGTCTGTAAACTTGCATTTTCAAGTAATTATAATGGCACAACCTGTGGTGTTGTCATTATGTATTATTCTGCTAGCAAGAAGGTCCTGTTATTCGTTACTTCTGTTTGTTCTTTTGCCTTTATCAATTCCCAAATTTAGCAACTGATAGATAAGGTCACCAAATCAGTGGCACTTAATTCCCTGAGATTTCAGAACTAAACCTGAGAACTAGAGCTTACAAAAGCAGACATCAGGGCCTGATCCTAAATGCCCAGTTTTTGTTGGTCATTTCCACAGGGAAGAGGAAAGTGCTATTTCTCCAGTTTTGGTGGACTTAGCTCTGGGTAAGACAAAAGCGCTGTCTGTAAAAGTTTACAGCTTGCCTAGTAAAGAACAGCAGCTTGCTGCAGTTTGCAAGGCTTAATTGAGTAGTTGCTGTGCCTTTTGAATACTCTCCAGGGATTCTGTGAATGTATCCAATTTCCTCAATTTTTCTCTGTTGCAGTGCTACTATGGTGTTCAGTCTCACTCTGTTTCTGCATCCACTTATTGTGTTAAAGGCAAAGCACCCAGGCTGTATTGTGTATTCTCTGTCTCATCTCCCTAAATGGGAAGGATTGCTCCCCATCATTTCATTTTCATCAGAGAACAATCGTTTCTACAAAAAAAATCTCTTAATTTCCAAACAAGAAACTCAATATTGGCATAAGTGCAGAAAATGTCAACAGAAGGCCAAAATTAGTAGCAATTGGGGAAACTGATCTTTCTCTTCATCTTACCACATGTAACCTGAACAACCTGAGTAGCACCATATATACAAGTAATTCATCAGCAGGCTTGGAGGACATGGAAACAATTTCAGATGTGTCCATATGCTACTGATGAGGAGGCAGAGTTGACACCTCTCTAAAAATGTTTTGCAAATATACATGATACATTCATTTTATGGCCAGATTATGACTAGATACCATTTTACTACAAGGATGCTCAAGCTGTAGGGTTGTGGAATCTTCCTTGTGTGTAAAAACCTAAATAAATCTACAAGAACTGAGTATGTTCACAGATAACTTAGAAACAAATGCAGTCATCACTTATAGTCAACACGGATTTATCAAAAACAAGTCATGCCAGACTAATCTGATCTCTTTTTTCGATAAAGTTACAAGCTGGGTAGATGCAGGAATGGCATGGATGTAGCGTATCTGAATTTCAGTAAGGCCTTTGACAAGGTCCCCCATGACCTTTTGGCAAGGAAACTAGTCAAATGTGGACAAGGCAAAATTATGGTTAGGTGGATCTGTAATTGGTTAAGTGAATGAACCCAGAGGGTGATTCTCCCCAATGCTTCCTCTTCATCCTGGAAAGAAGTGACGAGTGCCGCAGGGTTCCGTCCTGGGCCCGGTCCTGTTCAACATCTTTATTAATGACTTAGATGAAGGGTTAGAAGGCATGATCATCAAGTTTGCAGATGACACCAAATTTGGGGGGGCGGGGGGATAACCAATATTCCAGAAGACAGAAGCAGAATTCAAATGATCTGAACAGATTAGAGAAATGGGCCAAAACTAACAAAACGAAGTTCAACAGTGACAAATGCAAGATACTTCACTTAGGCAGAAATAATGAAATGGCTCCACAGCAGTACGTGTGAAAAAGATCTTGGAGTTCTCTTGGACAACAAGTTAAACATGAGCCAACAATGTGATGCAGCAGCAAAAAAAGCCAATGGGATTTTGGCCTGCATCAATAGGATGCATAGTGTCTAGATCAGGGAAGTCATGGTACCCCTCTATTCTGCCTTGGTTAGACCACATCTGGAATACTGTGTCCAATTCTGGGCACCACAGTTGAAGGGAGATGTTAACACGCTGGAATGTGTCCAGAGGAGGGCAACTAAAATGATCAAGGGTCTGGAAAACAAGCCCTATGAGGAGTGGCTTAAAGAGCTGGGCATTTTAGCCTGAAGAAGAGAAGGCTGAAAGGAGACATGATAGTCATGTATAAATGTGTAAGAGGAAGTCATAGGGAGGAGGGAGCAAACTTGTGACATGGAACAGTGGCTTCAAACTACAAGAAAGGAGATTCAAACTGAACATTAGGAAGATCTTCTGGACTGTGAGAGCTGTTTAGCAGTGGAATTCTCTGCTCTGGAGTGTGGTGGATGCTCCTTCTTTGGAAGCTTTTAAGCAGAGGCTGGATGGCCATCTGTCAGGGTGCTTTTAATGCAATTTCCCTGTTTCTTGGCAGGGGGGTGGACTGGATGGTCCATGAGGTCACTTCCAACTCTATGATTCTATGATTCTATAACTAAATAATTGCTGTGGTTGGGAGAGGGAAATAGAAAGGAGTATCAAGGAGTTGGACATGGATGAAATAGTGAAATTGCACTACTGCAACTCTCAGTTTTTTACAACTCTCATTTTTCCATATTCAGATATTACCAGCATGAAGGTATGCAAAAATAGGGGTGGGAGAGTATTTCAGGGAAAATGTGAAGGGAAACATCTTCCTAAACAATTGCTCATAGGATAGTCTTGGGATGGGGAGAGGAGGAACATAATAATAAAATGTGGAGAATTGTCCAAGAGGGTAAGAAAGAAGAAAATGTAAACAGGAGTATTAGCCATATCTTAATACTTCGTTGCTGGTAGTATTTACAGGATAACAATCCCAATGCAACACATAATCATACAGCAGTGTTTGGGCATGTGTTGGAGATATGTTTTGAGTGTTTGATAGGAAAATGAAAACCCAACAGCAAAAAACAAGTCAAACAATACAATTCAAACCTGGTCTGAGACACTTTGATGCACAATATCCCTTTTGTTTACTTGTGTTATTAAAGTTTGGAGGGCTTTCAATAAGAAATAAAGCAATGAAAAATTCCATAGCTGCAAAACAATAAAAGTTTTATACAATATAAGGCCTAGGAAGATACAAAGAAAGCTGCAATATTGTGCCTTTCTAATAATACACAGAGCTTACTGAAGCCTGATAAGGACATAAAGAATACACTAGGAAATATTTGATTTTTCAGTGTTGCCTTCAAGATCATTAAAGAATTTCCATGTAACAAGCTGTCCATTGAATCTTCTTTATTGAAAGAATGCCAATGGGGATGAAGGTTGTATTGTACCTCTTGTGTAGTGGGCTATGTTACAACTGTTTCTTTAATTAAAATCACTGGGACTATTTCAAGATGCTCTCCTGGTGGCACAGCAGGTTAAACTGCAGAGCTACTGAACTTGCTGACCAAAAGGTTGGCAGTTCAAAGGTTGGCCCAACTTCTGCCAACCCAGCTGTTCGAAAACATGCAAGTGTGAGTAGATCAATAGGCACCACTTCTGTGGGAAGGTAGCAGCCCTCCATGCAGACCACATGACCTAGGCAATGTCTATGGACAACACCGGCTCTTCAGCTTAGAAATAGAGATGAGCACCACTCCCCAGACCTAATGTCAGGGGAAACCTTTACCTTTACTATTTCAAGAATAGTGTGAATTCAGGACAGAGAACAGCCCCCAGACCTTGCCAAAGGCTGGAGTGCATTGGGATATGATTGTGATGGCATCATTCTAGTGCAGGTCTTGTTCTCTGGTAGTTTTTGACAGTCTTTCAATAAATCTACTTTGGAATTACAGCAATTACTGGATTAAAAGTGAAAGCAGAACTCCCATTCCTTCTCCCCACTTCTTTGTTTTGATCACCACACAGATGGCTTTGCTCCAAGAAAACTGTCGTATTTCTTTATAAGAGGAAAAGCCATTCACATTCCCACAGAAAATTATTTAACCCTTTATGCACATTCAAGTAAAACAACAATCCATTTTATTTTAGCACAACTGCTCCCTCCTCCATTTCAAATTTTCTTAACTCAAATCCTCCCTGTTTTCAGTTCATCTTCATTTCACGTGTCATGGATTTCATCTGTGAAATATTGCGGAGCATGGATAAGGTGAATATGTCACTTAATTTCCATAATGACCCCTTCACATGAATTAAAGTGCATATTATGTGCCTCCTGTTTCAGAAACTTTGAACTTTTTCAAACAACAAGAGCTTCGGAGAGAGAAATGGGAAAGAAACCACTTGGTGACAAAGGCAGCTTCGCGCCGCTCTGTCAGCAGAGAACGCTGGGTGGAGACTCTGGTGGTGGCTGACAGCAAGATGATTGAGTATCATGGAAGTGAGAATGTGGAATCCTATATTCTCACTATCATAAATATGGTATGTAATATGTTTTCATTTTCCTCCTGATTCTGTAGTCCATAACCCTAATGAGGAGTACCTTGGGGTTCTAGGTATGTTTAGCTTGGAGATGAGAAGGTTGAGAAGGGGCATGATAGCCATATCTGAAAGTATGTCACATTGAATAGTGGACAAGCTGCCTTTTTTTCCTGCTCTCAAGACCATATGCAGAGCAATGGATTCAAATAGACCATCTTCCTGTTGGCAAGAGCTCAGTGCATGGTGGAGTCTCCTTTTCTGGAGTTTTTAAAGCAGAGGCTGGTTGGCCAGCTGTCAGGATGCTTTCATTGGGTGTTCCTGCATTGCAGAGGGTTGGACTGGATAGCCGTTGTGTTCTCTTCCAACTCAATGCTTCTATTATTCTATGTTTCTGAGGACTATGGTCTACTGAAAAGGCCCTCTTCTATCCCTCAACAATGTAGAATGTGTCCCTTGTGGGAGAACATGGGAAATTACTTTCTCTGTTTTGAGTTATTCCTTCTCAATGGTGTCACCAAGTGTGTAAGGCAGCCTCTGGTGTTTAGAGGCCTGTGCAGTTCCAGGAAATCAGTACCCTCACTGCACCTGGCACTCCAGTCAATGGTCTACTATTGCCTTATTTGCCCCAAAGCAACCCTGTCACAAATCAATTAAAGACCATTGATGCCATATGAGCAGGAGCTGAGCTGGGTTATGAACAGAGAAGGAAAAAGAGAAGAGGGCAAGACCCCTCAGTTGCTGCCTACACTTGTCATCAGAAGCCAGTAGAGAGCAAGGGAGGACATCTCCTCTGTGCAAGAGAGTAATTTGGGTGACACCTCCTCTGATGGTGTCACCCCGTGTAGTCTACCCCCTCTCCCAACCCCCAAGTGATGCCACTTTCCTCTCTTTAGAGGCCTTATGAATACTACCAATAGTACTTGCAGTCCTGTGCTAAGACATAATAAAATCATTTGCAGCCTGATTGATTTCCTCCAAATCTGCACTTTTTAAAGTAGTCTGAACTTTCAAATTGTTTTCATGCTTCACTGTTGTGCCCTTATTGTGGTAAATAAATAATCAGTGTATAGTTAATGCTTGCAAAATATTCTGAGCCAACAAATAAATGAATAAATCACTTACTGAAGTGTACCCCAGGGCATTTTTGGACATAATCTATGGATGAAGCAACTGGCAAAGCACAACGGCGAATTCACACTCAAATTGTATAATCTAGATTGATAACAAGACCAGAAAGTTCTTCCCATGTCTTCACTACCTTCTGCAGCACTTTGTTATAAAGTAATTTAAGAATGTGTTATGAATTCTTTATAAGTAAAGGTTCCTGACAAGACAAAACAGAATTTCTGTTTGAAAATAGCAAACCAAGGTTATTTCCCTGGAAGTGCAACTTTACCATAAAGGAGATGTAGTCTCAGAGGAAGGCAGTGGCAATCCTCAAACCCCCAAATAAATCTTGCTCATAAAACCCTTCATGAGAGGGCCAGCTTAGGATTTTTAGAAACAAAATACAAATAACTTTAATGTAGTTAAAAAAGAGTTTTCACACCTGACAAGTCTGGACCCCTTTGCATTTAACACTGCTAATTTAAACCCTTCTCAAACTCACATTATCCAGATGTGTGAGACTATAGGTTCCATCACCCACAGATTGCATGCCTAATGAATATATTGTCTGAGAATGGTGGAAGTTGAGGTCAAATATATCCGAGAATTGAGGAAGCTGATGTAACAATACCCTCAATTTCTTAAACACATACTTCAACCACAGTGTAACAGATTATCCTGAACTATGAGAACAGGTGATGCAAAACAATGCAAAATGTTTTTCCAAAGATGTCGTATGTTAAGGTGGTTGGACGAACAGACCTGCAAATGGACTCAGATCGTGAAACATATTTAGCACAGTTTGACCCCATATTCACTGGGATTATGTTACAATGCCTCTGACAGATAATAACGAACCCTATATTTTGACTGCACTTGGGCAAGAAGTATACCAATTGAATAGCACTAGAGGACCTAGAGAGGCCCACAAACAAAATTTCTAGATCTTCCATAGTTATGTTATAGTCAACTTCAGAAGAAAGCTGCCCATTGAATTACACTGGGGAACCTATAAATTCTTAGACCAAAATTTTAGTAAACTCCACAAATAATGAAATCTGCAAAAGTTAAACCCACAAATATGGAGGGCTAACTGGAATTGTCTATCTCCTTTCAGCCCACCAAGATCTCCAAAGTGACTTAGAGTAGTAATTGAAGTATTAATGAGATTTTCATAGAATTATAAAGTTGGAAGAGACCTCGTGCATTCAAAGCACACCCAAATGGTTGTCCAGCCTATGTTTAAAAGCCTCCAAAGAAGGAGCCTCCACCACACTCGGGGGCAGAGAGTTCCACTGCTGAACAGCTCATATGGCCAGGACCTAATTTACGGTGATGCTACAGAGAAAACCTTGTCACATATACCCAGTAACCTCTCAAGTGTTCAAATCGTGCAACAGAGTCTTTGCTGAAGATCTCGGATTTCAGGCAAAATGTCAGAAACTTTGAGGATATGTTGTTGGGAGTTTATTTATGGTATTTTGTGTCAAAACATTGCATAAATAAACAAGTATATAAACAAGTATAAAACTGATAAAATAGAGGGAACACAAGCAGCTAAATAAATTTAGATCAAAACTGGACAACAGTGACCACATTGTTTGCAGCTTTACACAGTTCTTCCTCTATGCATGATGCAGAGCATTGTGGCAAAAATACAGATGCTGAGTTGTTTGTTCTGCTCCACAGTTGCACAAGGTGGAGGATTCTTCTAGGTAGTGCCATTTTGCCAGGATGTTTTTTTGATCTGCCCACTCCACTTCTGTGTCTGTTCAAAGACTTCCAAGTTGCCATTTTTGGTTTGCCCCTGGAGGCAGAGCCTCTCCCCGGGGGGGAGGGGAGGGGGGCATCCATTTGGGATTTCCTGGTTTAGCTGCCCAGAGGTTTTGTTCTTGCTGGAAGAAAAGTTCTCATGAAACCTTCTCTTGATTTGAGTCTACTGGGAGGAGGCTGATAGGCATGCAGTGGATGGTTTTCACTGTGTTCAACATTACTTCTCTCACAGTTGGGAGCAAATTGTCATGAGTAAATCATCATAGTTGTATTGGAGTGGGGGAGAGAGAACATATATGGAAGAGGAGTCCATTAACTTCATACTATCTGGCTTTGGCCCAGGTGGCAGGTTTGTTCCATGATCCAAGCATTGGCAACGCGATCCATATTGTGCTGGTTCGTCTTATTCTTCTTGAGGAAGAAGAGGTAAGATTTCCATCATTTCTACACCCATTTGATTGTGCTGCCAAAGGAGGACAGGTTATTGGAGAAAGATGAAGGAAACCAAATAAATGACTCTTTAGCTATTCAAATGTATTTTAAGAAAACACAGCTGTTTTATTGAAGGGATACTACCAGCACAAACATTTACTCATGTATAAGTTAACCTCGTACAGGTTGAGGAGAGGTTTTTGGCCTAAACTTACAGATTTTGATGTGACATATGGATATGTGACATAAGTTGAGGGTCATTCCTTGGCGAAGGGAAAGCATCAATACTGAAGTCATCCATCCTGACCACTATCACCACTTAAAAATGCAAGAAGCAATGCTATGGAAGACAAAATAGAGGAAATCAGTGCTTCTTTTAGCTTCTCCTCAGACGTATTTGCTGTTATTGTTTATTCATTCACTTGGTTCCAACTCTTTGTGATCTCATGGACCAGTTCACGCCAGAGCCCCCTGTCGGCCATGGTCACCCCCAGCTCCTTCAAGGTCAAGCCAGTCACTTCACCTAGATGTATTAAGCACTCACCTTTTTCCACTCTCCTCAGAGAAGGGGGTGGTTCTTTTTTTATATCAGTTAAGGTGCAGTATTGACATGGAGACATGATAAATCAACCCAGGTTTTGGAGGGCTGATTCTTTTACTAACATTTCTAGACTTATACATGAGTATATAGGACAATTCTTTTTCCTTCCTTCCCTTCTTTTCCATTCCCTGTCCTTGGACCTTTGAATGGGAAGCTGATTGACCACTGCTGGATGACTGACCTCAAGGATTTAGCCCACTACCCAATCAGTTGTATAACCATGAAATTTCACATAACTACATCAGTGATTAAGGTTTTATTTTTACTTGGTAAACAGCAATTAAAATGATGCCTTTTTCTCCTGGCAAAAGCATCGTTTGTTAAAGCTAAATTACTCCAGCAGGCTCAATTATAATACACAGTATAATTATTACAGCTGACGCTGTTAGGATACTGGCAGTATAATGATATTTTTCTTTTTCTTTTTTCAGCAAGGGCTGAAAATAGTTCACCATGCAGATAAGACATTAGCCAGCTTCTGCAAATGGCAGAAGAGTATAAACCCCAAGACAGATAACAACCCACTCCATCACGATGTGGCCGTGCTTCTTACCAGGTATGACATTCCAGTAAAGGATCAGGTTGAAGAGAACTGAAGGATGGGGATCTTTCAGCCTATTGAATGAGATACCTATTAGGACATTAAGTAGCCAACAATTCTCTGGTTGAGGAGAAAGTAAAGTTGTGCAGTAGTCTGATTAAAGGAGACAGAGAGGAGAGAAAGTGAAAGCTATGTTTCTGGGTGGAATCAACAGTAACCTGGTGGTGTGAAGCCTTGCTTCCCAAATTTTCTTTCAGAGAATCTGCCTTGTAAATGTGCATGTTTTCCACTTGTTTTCATATAATATACTGATTAGTTTAGTTCAGTGGTTCCCATCCTATGATTGGTCGACCACCAGTGGTCCACAAGAACTAAAATATGGTCAGTGGCCCACCATTACTGCAACAAGAGCAACTGGTCTTGCAAAACCCTCTTATAGTGCTGAGGCTTATTAAATATGGTTTTCTGTGGGCAAGCAGATGACCACTATTGGATGGGATTTGTTCTGTATCAGAAACTAGAGCTGTTGTGGTCTGTCCAATGCAATTTTCTGAATCTGCACTCCAAATAACCAAACCAAATCTAAAGTTGACCAACAAATTGATTCATAACCCTTTTGGTACTAATGTTGGAGAGTGGTCCCTGGTGAGAGTTATTCCTGGTTTTAAAAAAGCCTGGGAACCACTGGATTAGTTAAATAAAACAATGTCCCCAAATTTGGTTCTCCAGGTTTTTAGACCTCAGGCTTTTTTATCCTTCTTTTAAAATATAGCCAAATACAACCTGTTATTCATTTATCGGCCTCCCATCCAATAGAACTGGCTGTGCTTAGCATCCAAGCATCTGGTGTGTTTATGATATTTAGACCTCTATTTTCTGCTACAATCCTTTTTTAAAACACAGCAAAACAAAGTTACAGGAATGGTTTTGGAAACAATTCCTCCCCTGCTCCACATCTCTTTCCTAAACAAAACAAATGCAACAGCAAATATTTTTGGTTCTTTTTGTTAATGTCCTTTTGCTACAAAATTACAGGGCTTTTATTGCTTGTGACTTCTGCTTGCAGCACTTGTTAATGATAATTGCAGGCTTTTGAATGCTGCCGTAATAATCAGAAATCTGTGACTCGGTTGTGCCAGTTCTTGCTTTTCCTTTGCTTTGTCTTGTTGGCTGTTTTTTCTTTAGACAATGCCACAGTGGTTTATTTCTGATTTAGAAAATTGTGATTCAGTTTCTGAATACAATGAAAATCTGAGTATCCCACATAGGAAGCCGGGGCTGGATATTTACTGTTGGCTTATTCCATTCATACTCTTGTATGAATAGTATCTGCGCCATTATTATCCCATATGTTTGGTACTAAGAGTTTATATTAATATTTCAGTGACAATAAACAACTGTGTTTGATTGCTCTGTGATTTTGTACACATACGGTTTTCTGCAGGAGAAAAAGAACAGTTTAGTGTGTAGGTAAAAAAACAATTACAAACTGAAAGCTAGTGTAGTATTTGTAGGTGAAGTATACAACTAAAGCGATGGGAAACTAGACTTTGAGTGTGACTTGACCTTGGCCAAGTCACACTCTCTCAGCTCCAGAAGAAGTCAATGGTAAACCCTCTCTGAATAACTCTTGCTGTTTTTGTTTGTTTGTTTTTTTGTCGTGTCAGGAGCAACTTGAGAAACTGCAAGTTGCTTCTGGTGCGAGTGAATTGGCCGTCTGCAAGGACGTTGCCCAGGGGACGCCCGGATGATTTGATGTTTTTATCATCCTTGTGGGTGGCTTCTCTCATGTCCCCGTATGAGGAGCTGGAGCTGATAGAGGGAGCTCATCCGCCTCTCCCTGGATTCAAACCTGCCACCTGTTGGTCTTCAGTCCTGCCGGCACAGGGGTTTAACCCACTGCACCACCGGGGAACTCTTGCTGTGAAAACCCTTTGATAAGTTTGCTTTAGGCTCACCACAGGTCATAAATTACTTAAGAGAACTTCAAAAACAAATCAGAGCTGGGAGGATCACCTTTTTGAACTACAATTCCCAGAATCCCCCAGCCTGAAAGAGTTAGAAGAGAATGTAGTGTAGCTCTTGCTGGCATGCAAGCTTTGGCAAGTATCCAACCGTGTTGATAGTTGAGCACTGCTTATCTCAGATTAAGTGCCATTGAACAGATGGGATTCTGAATTAAGCAGTGAATAGGCATTGAATCACTATTGGACATTGCTCTTTGTGTCTCAAGCCTTTTTGCTGTATTTTCAGAAAAGACATTTGTGCCGGCATGAATCGTCCATGTGAAACCCTGGGTTTATCCCATCTCTCTGGAATGTGTCAACCTCATCGCAGCTGTAACATCAATGAGGACTCTGGGCTGCCCTTGGCATTCACAATAGCACATGAATTGGGGCATAGGTATGAAAGCACCTTTACTAATTGATAAAGAATCTATATAGTGGGCTCTCAATATTTGCTGGGGTTTGGTTCCAGGACTCCCTCATAAATATCAAAATTTGTGGATGCTCATCTCCTGTTATATATAATGTCATAGTAAATTATATGAAATTAATAAATGGTTGGAGGCTTCAGAGGGATATGGCTACACATCAACTTAGTGCTTGATGCACAACGAAATAAAAAAATGGAATTTGTTTCTGAATGTTTTTGAGCCTCACTTGGTTAAATCCATGGATTCAGAATCCATGGATTTTTTGTGTGTGTCAGGAGCGTCTTGAGAAACAGCAAGTTACTTCTGGTGTGAGAGGACTGGCTGTCTGCAAAGGATATTGCGCAGGGGACACTGGGATGTTTTACCAACCCATTGGGAGGCTTCTCTCATGTCCCTGCATGAGAAGCTGGAGCTGACAGATGGGAGCTCACCCTGCTTCCCAAATTTGAACGGTGGACCTTTCGGTTAGTAGTCAGTTAGTTTAACCCATTATGCCACTGGGGGCTCCTAACCCATGGATGTGATGGGCAAACTGTATCTTGTTCTACAATTGGGAAGTCATATAGACTTAGGTGTCTATACAGAAAGTCCATGTGGTGCCTGCTCTCAGGTTTGCAATCAAAACAAATAAGATACAAAAGGAAAGAGAGCTGGAAAGGAGAAAAGAGGAACAACTCAGGTGTGTGTAATTATCAGTTCCTTGGGCAGGTAGAATAACTGCAGGATGACAATTGAGCAGATGCAAAGCCTGAAAGAATTTGCTTTTTAGGTGGGGTAATTATGGCTTCTCTTTTCTAGCTTTGGTGAACATAAGGGTGTTACGTCACAATGCTAACTGTTACTGAAATGGCTGCAATTAAATATTCTTTCTTTGGAGAGAGAAAAGAGCCACATGCTGTTTCAGTGGCAATAAAGAGACTAGTACTTCATCGTAATTCAGTGCAAAATGAGAGAAACTTAGACATAAGTCTAATATGCTTGGAGTTTTTTCTTGTATTTAAGACTAAAGTTTTGCAGCAGGAGGGTTTTACTTCAGCAGTGAGTACTCACCAGATATATTGCTGGATTGCACCTCTGAGCACTCTTTAACATGGCTTACGTGGCCTTTGATGGGAGATGCAGTCCAGCACTACCTGAAGGACCACACTTTGCCCATTCTTGTTTTCTCTCTTATTTTTAATCACTTCAAAATGGTGTGTGTTGCTTTTCTTACATTTTTGCAGAAAAGAGAGCTTATGAATTACTTGCTTTCCATCCTTTTATATTTTTTTATATTAGTATAATGTCCTCATCTTTTTATTTCCATATAGAAAAATATTTGCTTTCTTATATTGTTATTTGTTTGCTTGGATGCTTATAACTTGTCTTTTTCCCAATCCCACAGGACTCAAGGGCTTATAAAATGAATATAGTTAAAAATCATAGTATGTGAAAGTTAAAAAACAATTAAACATCATATTAAAACCACTCAAAGCATAAACTATTAAAATGCATTAATACATTTGTATAGATTAGTGTTTTATTTGTCTGTTTTGTTTGTACTAGAAGTAAAGATGTAAACAAAACTGTAAACATTAATGTTATACCATCTCTGCCTTTGTTTCTTTCATCAATATACTCTTGGCTTCTAAGGAGTAATACAACTCCTTATTTCTCTCTTTTCTGGTAGGTGTTTTGGAGATGGGACTCCAGTTGGATGGCACTTCTTTTAGTATTATAAAATTAGACCAAACCTGTTGACTTCTTTCATAGATTTCTCCATCAGACCCCATCCAGAAGCAACTTTGAGTCTCCTTGTGGAGAGAAAAAGTGGGGTATAAATAAACATAATAATAATAATAATAATAATAATAATAATAATAATAATGACCATTTTTGGCTGAGAGATTCTGGGAGCTAATCTATAAAGAGAATCAGCATTTTGCTGTAGTGTGAATGTTGGTTCAAGACTCCAGGAGGTCAGATTTCAAATACTATAGAAACCCACTGGGTGAACATTGGCAAGTCAGGCACTCTTAGCTTCAGAGGAAACAATAGCAGATTCCATCTGGAAGAAAATTGCTGAGAATATCCCATGATAGAGTCACTTTTGTTGTTATGGACCTACAAGTTGATTTCTGACTTATGCCACCTCTAAGGCAAACCTTTCACAGGGTTTTCTGGGGCTGAGAGTATGTGACTTGCCAGGGTTGCTCAGTGGGCTTCCTTGGCCAAGCTGGGAATCAAACTCTGGTCTCCAGAGTTATAATCCAGTGCTCAAATGTGACACCACAAGTCGGAAATGACCTGCAGGCATAAAACAGCAGAATGGTCTTTAAAAATGACTATCAAACTCTGAGAGATACTGCCATGAATCTCCACCGCATTCTGGACATGAATTGATAAAAAATCTCTTTAGATTTTTTTTTTGCAGTGCTATAGGTTATTTGGAGGACAATGATTTTTATATTCCATCTTCATAAACATTCCTGACAGCGTCTTTTCTGGTTTGTTCTCTCTTAGTTTTGGTATCCAGCATGATGGAAAAGAAAATGACTGTGAGCCGGTGGGGAGACGCCCATACATCATGTCCCGCCAGCTGCAATATGACCCTACTCCTCTTACTTGGTCTCGCTGCAGCAAAGAATACATCACACGTTTCCTAGAGTGAGCCTGTTTGGTTGCTTTGCCATTGTTCCATTGTTTTTGAGCTGGTCTTTTTCATAAGCTTTGTGCGATCTTTGGGAATAGATTGCCAACCACGAAACGGATAATGCAAGTTGCTTTGCCTTGTGACTCTAATGCTTTGATATTGTACTATTACACTAAGACTGCCATAGCTTTTTTCTGTGATGGAAATAATTTTGCTGATGGTTGACAATAGATTGCATGATAGTGTACCACTACTACATTCTTTGTGATAGATCTAAAAAATAATCTAAAATGCAAGACTAAACATTATGGGTTGGGTTTACTCTAAACAACAGGCTTAGAACCAGAAGCATTCAAACTTTTTTGGATTTTGGAATACTTGTATCTGGATATACATAATGAGGTAGTTTTTATGTTATGCGACCCCCAAGCGCAAACGCATCTGGTGGGGACGAAGGACAGGGCCTTCTCGGTGGTGACCCCCGCTTGTGGAACTCGTTCCCCGGTGAGATTAGATCGGCATCCTCCCTCCTTTCCTTTAGGAAAGAACTGAAACCATGCTTGTGGAACTAGGCCTTTGGCTAGCAGATATAACGGCGCTTTGGACACTGAACTGGACCATATGATTATTGTAATAACAGAAACTGCTATATGATTGTATAACTAATGTTATGGGTTTTTTAATTTATTGTATATTTATGGTTTTTATATTGTTGTTCATTGAGATATTGTGGCATCAAATTGTTGCCAGTGTTAGCCTCTCTGAGTCCTCCCCCCCCTTGGGGGTTGAGAAGGGCAAGGTGGAAATGTTGTAAATAATAAAATAAATAAATTTTACTTAAAGTGAACCTGCCATTGATGGCAGTTCCAACTTGCACACATGCCATTTCAGTACCCATTGTGAACTTGCATGCATGTCTCCAGCCTCACATCTCATTTCTTTGCTCATTGTGTTGTGTATGAGATGTGAAACTGGAGAGAGACTGAGAATCTGTGAAATCGTGGGAAACAATTTTTTTGCAACCAGTTATCCGCTTTCAAGACAGTGGATTGTGGCCTTCCTGCTTGTTTGTCTCTTGCATCCTCAGTTTCTCTCTTTTTGCTGCCAGCAACCCATTTTCACCTTCTGGGCAGCGGCTGTGGCACTTCTGCTCATTCATCTCAAATTCTCTGTCTCTCTCCAACCTCACAAAAATCAAGGCTAGAGAGAGACTGAGAATCTGAAGGACAAACACAGAGGAGTAAAGATAGAATTAGTAGCAAAAGATTTTAGTTTTTGAAGGTTTTCTGGATAAGGAATGTTCAACCTGTAGAGGAAAAACAATTACCGTTTATGTTTAGTATTATTAATAGCAGTACGGAGTAGGGAAAATCCCCTCCAGGATCTCTGCTGCTTTATACCTCTAGTGCAGGGTTTCTCAACCTGTGGGTCGGGACCCCTGGAGGGGTTGCGAGGGGGTGTAGAAGGGATTGGCAAAGACCATCAGAAAACACTGTATTTTCTCTTGGTCTTGGGGGTTCTGTGTGGGAAGTTTAGCCCAATTCTTGCATTAGTTGGGTTTGGAATGCTCTTTGATTGTAGGTGAACTATAAATCCCAGCAATCTATTTTCCCCCAAATCCACCAATGTTCACATTTGGGCATATTGAGTATTGGTGCCAAGTTTGATCCAGATCCATCATTATTTGAGTCCACAGTGCTGTCTGGATGTAAGTGAACTACAGCTCCAAAATTCAAGGTCAATGTCCACAAAACTCTTCAGTATTTTCTATTAGTCATGGGAGTTCTGTGTGCCAAGATTGGTTCAATTCCATTATTGGTGGAGTTCAAAATGCTCTTTGATTGTAGGTTAACTATAAATCCCAGCAATTACCACTCCCAATTGACAAAATCAATCCCCCCTCCCCCACCCTCAGCAGTATTCAAATGTGGGCGTATGGGGTATTTTTGGCAAATTTGGTCCAGTGAATAAAAATACATCCTGCATATTGGATAGTTACATTGCAATTCGCAACAGTAGCAAAATTACAGTTATGAAGTAGCAACAAAAATAATTTTATGGTTGGGGGTCACCACAACATGAGGAACTGTATTAAGGGGTCGTGGCATTAGGAAGGTTGAGAACCACTGCTCTAGTGAGTAAGCCAAGCCACATTAAAGCCTATGAAAAGCATCAGATTTTCAGTGTTGGCATGTAGGACTTAAATATAACACCCCTTCATTGTTTGCTTCCTGCCAAGTCTTATTCATATGGAAACTGCCTCTAAATTTAAAGTTGCTGCTTGGCCACTCTGTCGAATATCCACTGATAGACCTATCCTTCAGGAAACTAATCATATTTAGTCTTCCCAATCATCAGTGTCATTTAGTAACTCTCATTTTAATATTTCAAGATGGGAATGAAAATAATTTTCTCTCCATTTCTTGTACACCATTCACAAATATATATTGCAGAGTCTGGGAAAGTTATCATTTTGGTTTACAGTTTCCCAGAGTCTCTTATGAGGGCTGAGGAATAGATTTATGTCTCCCTGGAACCAACCCTACCATTAGTTCAATCTAGGCAATCTCCTCAAATGCAAGATGGGAAACAGCTGTGTCTGTTTCCTCTAGAAATTATCCCAGAGTCACTCAGCCATTTCTTCTTCCTTTTTGATGGGCAAAGCTACATTTCCTACATAGCCTTTCCTGTACCACCCAAACAGGTCTACTGTCTCAGGTGTGATGAAAGAAGTATCTTTTAGTTGGATGAATCTGTTCGTTTTGGTTTCTCCCATATTGACATGGCTTTGATCTCAAATTCTTTCCATCATAGATATGAAGCAATCTGCAGATGTTGGCAAATTCTTATCAAAAGTGAACGGAAACAGAATTCTCACCCATCCCTTATGCGGAGTAACTTGTTTTGGGGACTGTGTTCTGTCACTGTTTTGTAGCAATTGGTCCAAGCTCTCTAAAAATAGCTGATTATCTTTTCCCTAAGATAAGTATGTTTAGTTCCTTCAGCATTCCTTCATATGTCATATATTTCAAACAACTAATTGTCTTCATTTTCTGAATCATCTTGTTAGCGGATACTTTCAGGAAAGATAGTGTTGAAAAGGATTAGCGCTCAATAGACCAGCATTTTCACCTCCTACACACAATTGTATGTACTCTTTCTATCAAATCAACCAAATATAGACAGCATTCTCAGGATGAGGAATTTTCTCCTCTGCTCATTTTTTCTGTTTTTCTCCCACTGTTGGCATTGAAAATGAGAAAATAGTTGTCATTTCTGACTTTTCTCAAATCATGAGATAAAGGCTGTTTCGCTATTGCTGTCATTTTTAAAAGAGGTGGGTGTTGCTGTTTTTAGTCAAGAACTTCAAAACTGCTAACATTCAATCTCATCTTTCAAATACAGCCGAGGATGGGGCTTCTGCCTGGATGATGTTCCAAAGAAGAAAGACCTAAAGCCACCTTTCATCGCACCTGGAGTGCTGTATGATGTCCATCACCAATGCCAGTTGCAGTATGGACCCAATGCAACCTTCTGTGATCAAGTAGATGTAAGTTCACTGTTTATCCTTCCCTTGCACCTCACTTTTTTATTTGTGATAATGTAATTCATCTTCTGCATTCTAACTGGATAACTATATTCAAATGAGGGGAAATTAAGCCCTCCAGAAGAAATACAGAGATCAGAAACTTCCCATGTTAAATCATCTACTGTGCATCCCCTGTTCAGATATCAGCTAGCACTCCAGCACCTTAAATCAAGAAATAATTTTCTAAGATCTACAGAGATACCTGCAGGAACACCTCAGCAAACAAGAGTCCAAAAGTGGCAGGGTAAAACCCAGCACCTCAATCAGTGGCTGATACCAGATGAGAGTGACTAGGAAGGCACTGAAAAGACTGCGCTCTGGCACTACAAGATGCAGAGACAACCTTAAGAAATGGGCCAAAAGTGGAGTCCACAACATGTGAATGTGGAGAAGAACAAACCACAAACCACCTACTACAATGCAGTCTGAGCCCTGCCACATGCACAATGGAGGACCTTTTTATAGCAATACAGAGGCACTCCAAGTGGCCAGATACTGGTCAAAGGATATTTAGTATAATGACAAGTTTTTTAAACTTTGTGTTTTTTAAATACACTATATCTGTACCCTCAGTTCGCTTCTGATACGGATATTTAGTATAATACTATGTTTTAAAACTTTGTGTTTTTACTTTTACTTTTTACTTTTTTCTTTTTTCTTTGTTTTTAAATACATTGCAACTGTACCCTCGATTAGCTTCTGATACAATAAATATATAGGAGTGAAGAATTTGCTGATGGATTCTTGCTCCCATGAGCTTCACCAGCATTGCCAAAGGCCAGGGATTATGGAAGTTAGAGTGTGAAAACAGATTCCCTACCTTTATGCAAACTCACTTGGGACATGATAGGACCAGGAGATGTTGGGCATTGAGTCAGTTCATTTTCATATTCCTGCTGGTACTATAATTATGTGTGGATGAGCTCCCTCTATAAGCTCCAGCTCCTCATATGGGGACATGAGAGAAGCCTCCCACAAGGATGATAAAAACATCAAAATCATCCTGGCATCCCCTGGGCAATGTCCTTGCAGATGGCCAATTCTCTCACACCAGAAGCAACTTGCAGTTTCTCAAGTCGCTCCTGACACAACAAAAAAAAGGTAAAATTCAAGTGAATTAAACACTGGAGTTGATTTCAGGTACTTCCTTTCCTCAGAAGACTTGAATATTGTATTGTTCCATGGAGGAAAGTAGTCTCTAGGGGCAGCCATATTTTTTCAAATGATCAGTTGCCAGTCTCCCGTCTTTCCCAATGCAGGAGAATAGCAGCTACATAGACAATGGTCAGGAAATGGCAGAAATAGTTAAAAACATTCAAATCTTGGCTCAGTCATAAATCAGAATGGATAATGAAGTCAAGAAAATAGAAGAATATAAGGACTTTGAAGTGAGCATCTCTGAAAGAACTAAACAAGGTCCTCAATTATAAAGTTATCATAAATACTCGAGTCTAATGCACCATTGAATATAATGCGCAACTCAATTTTCAAAACTCTGACACCAAAAAAGTATTTCTGCTGAATGTAATGTACAGCAGCAAAAAGTTCACTCTTTGTACTTTTCCCATTTCAGTTGCTGCATGCTTATCATTCCGTCTTTAAAAACAAAAGTGTTAGAGCACCAAAACTTCCAGCGATTGAAAAGAAAACCTTGTGTTGCATATATTATGTAGAATGAATCCACTTAAACTGCCATGGCTTAATACTATGGAGTCATGGGGGCTGTAGTTTTACAAGGCCTTCTTTGCCAAAGAATTCTGATGCCTCACCAAACTACAAATCCCAGGATTGCACAGCATTGAGCCATGACTCTGAAATTGGTGATTACATCCCTCAAATAGGAGCTCCAGGTGCTTCTGAAGCAGCCTCCACTTTTGCTTTGGCTCAGCAATAAGATTAACATATTATGCAAATCTAATGTGCATCTTAATTTTGGCAAAGTAATTTAACCAAAAAAAGAGGCGAGCATTAGATTTGAGTAAATAGATAATTGAATACTAAAGTCAAGATTGCCCATGCCATCATATTTCCAATTTTTCAGTCTGGTTGTGAAAGGCTGGGCAGTGAACAAAGCTGAGAAGAAAATCAACTCATTTGAAATGTGTTTCTGGAAAAAAGTTTGCAGATACCATTGACTGCCAAAAAGATGAATAAATGAGCAGTAGAATTAATTAATCCTAAACTCCCTTTAGAAGCCAAGATGACTAAACCAAGACTGCTGCACTGCTGGAAATCTCATGAGAAAACAAGACTTATTAAGAGAAAAATACGCTTGCTAAGGTGCTTGACAGTGATGCCTGACAGAGGCTGAATAACCATCTGTTGGGAGTGCTTTGCTTGTGTATTCAGGGAATTGGATGGATGGCCCTTGGGGTCTTTATGATTCTAAGACAGAAGGTGGTAGACTGTATTCCCAATGAAAAGATTCAGCCAAGGAAGTCACAGTCCTAAAGTTTGCTAGAGCTGAGCAGGAGAGTTGATATTAGGGCAATTTGGAAATCCTTCATTCATAAGGTCACCATAAATTCAAAGGTTTTTTATCTTATCAGAAGCAACTTGAGAAGCTCTACGTTGCTTCTGGTGTGAGAGAATTGGCTGTCTGCAAAGACATTGCCCAGGGGATGCTCAGATTTGTTACCATCCTGTGGGAGGCTTTTCTCATGTCCCCACATGGGAAGCTGGGGCTGACAGATGGGAGCTCACCCCATCTCACAGATTTGAACCACCAACCTTCAAGTATTCAGGACAAGGGTTTAACCCATTGCACCACCATGGCTCCATAATCTTAAGGTGACTTGACGGCAACTGACAACACATAGCAGCAAAATGAATTATGAAAGAAAACAGTTGCCAGTGTGATGATGGGTGGGATGATGGAGAGAAAGATGGTAAAAGTGAGTACTGAATCAAATATGGATACGGTTAAACGATGATGAAAAGAACATGGAGGCCCCTAATGAGTTATGGAATAATTTAGGTCTTTAACAATGAGAACAAATGGAAGCACAAAGCAAAACAAATAGAAATTGGATATGTTTGTTGGCATTTTCACATCACAGAAGAGCAACATCTGTGAAATAGCGTGTTTGATGGCAAATATGGTGAAACTGAAAAGCACCAGAGTCTTTTATGTACCTTTTTAGTTAAAACAGGTTTGATTTGCAGCTTAGATAGACATGGCTCTGTGTATGAATTGCCTTTTCTGTTTATGTCTTCACACAAAGGAGATCTTTGGTGTATGGCAGCATGGTTCAGTGTAGAAGTCCTATATTTTCCTTGGGCCAGAACCATTGAGACACATATAAATGTTGTTTTATAATTTTCCAACAAGGAGAGGTTGGTCATAAGAGTCATATTTTCCAAAGTGTTGTGGGGCATAAAATCCTAAGAAATAATCAGAATGGTAGATGCAACCTGGTATACTGGTTTGAGTGCAGGATTGAGACTTGGGAGATCCCTGTTCTAATTTCCATTGAGTAATGAAACAAACCTAGGACCAATCACTGTCTCTCAGCCTGACCTATCACATTTCAGGGTGAATTGTGGAAGACACCTATAATCTTTGGCAGCAAAGTAAAAAATGCAGCACAGGAAAAACTATGATGGCACACCTGAGCCTTTGAGAAAACTATAGTGTTTGGCTTTACTTGGGGGCTATCTGTATACCTTCTGTTAAGATTAAGACCCTTTAACACAGAGGCACTTTAGGCAAGGTGAAAAGATAACCAAATGAGTTTACTGAAACAAGAGGAATAAAGCATTAACTCCACCCAGGACTATTATAAGGTAACTTAAAACAATACATTACAAAAAGAGATTTTGCTGGCTGCAGTCATCTCTCTGGAGTCTTCTGCCACTGGTGCAAAGCGATGGTTTACAAGCTTATAAGCTGTCTCAATCTTCTTTCTTGTGAAGCTTAAGCTGGTCAAAAGCTTCTGTTGTCTCTAGGACTGATGGTATATGAATACTGCTGAGTGCAGGTGCTAATGATGCCTGTTTTGGATTGCTCAGGCCTAGAATTACCAGACAATGCCCAAGCCGCTAAATCACTCTGCTGCAGAAAAAGTGGAGTCCAGCAAAAGAGCTCTATACAGGAAAATGGAATAGACCAACTAACACTGGCCTCTAGGACAGTGTTTCTCAACCTTCCTAATGCCGCGACCCCTTAATACAGTTCCTCTTGTTGTGGTGACCCCCAACCATAAAACTATTTATGTTGCTACTTCATAGCTGTAATTTTGCTATTGTTATGAATTGCAATGTTAATATCTGATATGCAGGATGTATTTTTATTCACTGGAGCAAATTTGGCACAAATACCTGATATGCCCACATTTGAATACTGGTGGGGTTAGGGAGGGGACTGATTTTGTCATTTGGAAGTTGTAGTTGCTGGGATTTATAGTTCACCTACAATCAAAGAGCATGCTTTACTCCACCAACGATGGAACTGAAGCAAACTTGGTACACAGAACTCCCATGGCCAACAGAAAATACTGGAAGGGTTTGGTGGACATTGAGTTTTGGAGTTGTAGTTCACCTACATCCAGAGTGCACTGTGGACTCAAACAATGATAGATCTGGACCAAACTTGGGATGAATACTCAATATGCCCAAATATGAACACTGGTGAAGTTTGGTGAAAATAGACTTTGCCATTTGGGAGTTGTAGTTGCTGGGATTTATAGTTCACCTACAATCAAATAATTATGAACCACACCAATGATAGAATTGGGCGAAGCTTCCCACACAGAACCCCTATGACCAATAGAAAATGTTGTGTTTTCTGATAGTCTTTGGCGAGCCCTCTAAAAACCCCTCGCGACCCCTCGAGGGGTCCCGACCCCCAGGTTGAGAACCACTGCTCTAGGGTTTGTTTGTTTTTTAATGTTCCACCCAACACTAATACAAAGGAAGGCATCTATCTACACTATTGGGAAAACCTATACAGGGGGAACTAAAGCAAAGGAGAGGAAAAGGCAGAGCCAAGACTTCACAAAAAACAGTAAAGTGTAAAGTAAATATCCTATGTATTTGAGGAATGGGAGGGAATTCCATTAGTGCGAACATACCTAAGTTTATTTACTCACAACACTCTGGGATCCTTTTTTTCTGTAGAGGATATGGATTTCAGGCAGAAACCTCATGAGTCAGTATGGTAGAAAGTCAGTGTTGAAAGACTTAAAAGTTTGAAAATGCTACTTTACAGCAATTGAAATGCAGTGGAGCACTTGGAATACAGAAAACGGAATAAAGAAGTGTACCAAACCTTTTGACCATGTAAACCCTTGACAATATACCTTTCAAAAAAATAATTGAAGTGAAACTAAACTATCGCGCTAGCAGTCACTCCTTGCCATTTCATCGTATTCTCAGCTGATACTCATCCCATGCCATATATCTGTTTATTATGCCGAAGTGGTTGGGAGCTGTGTCAGCTGACAGGCCTGAAATAAGAACAAAAAAAGCGTACTTTGCAAAATTTTACTTTCAGAAAAAGGATGCTTATTTTTCTGTATCTTCAAAGGCAAATACATGCTAATGCCAGAACTTGACTCTGGCTCCATCTGCCTCAATTCTAAGAGGTTTAAATGAGGGAGGAATGTTTGCTTTCCACTAATGAAGTACACATTGCTGTGAGTCACTCTTCAGACCTGGTGCCACAGAGGGACATATTTATTCCTTGGCGTGAAGGGAGGTTTAGCCACTTCCTGTCTCCCAGGAAATGATGAGAATGAATTACATTGTTTTAGGTAAAGAAAATGTTCTTTCAAATGTAGTCATGCTGATCAACAACACTTGACAGCCGTTAATTCATTAAATTATGAATTAATTAACATTCTTCTGCATTGTGCAGAATGTTATAAATATCCTTAATAGAATCACAGAGTTGGAAGAGACCCCCAAGGGCCATCCAGTCCAATCCCCTTTGGCCGTGAAACCACTCCCAACAGATGGCCACCTGGCCTCTGCTTAAAAACCTCCAGAAAAGGAGACTCCACCACCATTCAAGGCAGCATATTCCACTGTTGAACAGCTCTTGCGCTCAGGAAGTTCTTCATAATGTTTAGATGGAATCAGTACAATGTTATTATGTACCTTATTTTTTAAAAAGTGATCCAATTGCACTGTGGAATTAGGTTTCATGGAGAAATCTCAAGCAGAGATACCACTCAGTGAGAAATTGCTCACTGTTCCTTAAACCGCAATTGTTTTTAAACACCATTTGATGTGGTTGTTTTGGTTGCTTCTGCCTCTGTTCGGCTATCAGCCAGCACGACAACACCTTAAATCAAGAAATAGTTTTCTAAGATCTACAGGGATACTCGCAAGAACACCTCAGCAAGAAAGAGTCCAAAAGTGGCAGGCTAAAACCTGGAGCCACAAGCCATGTCTAATACCAAATGAGAGACTCCCCCCCTGGGCACACAGAAGACTTGGCAACTTGGAAGGTGCTGAACAGACTGCACTCTGAAACCACGAGATGCAGAGCCAGCCTCAAGAAATGGGGCCACAAAGTGGAGTCCATGGCATGCGAGCGTGGAGAAGAGCAAACCACAGACCACCTATTAAAATGCAGTCTGAGCCCTGCCACATCTGTAATGGAGGACCTCCTTATAGCAATAGCAGAGGCACTCCAAGTGGCCAGCTACTGGTCAAAGAACATTTAGTAGAATACCAAGTTTTTAAACTTCGTGCTTTTTAAATACATTACAACTGTACCCTTTGGTTATTTCTGATACAATAAATAAATAAATAAATAAATAAATAAATGTGGTTGTTTTTGCAGAATATATGCCAGACCTTGTGGTGTTTTGTGAAAGGCTCCTGCCGTTCCAAACTGGATGCTGCAGCAGATGGAACAAGATGCGGAGAGAATAAGGTGACTATGGACTTCTGTCTTAGTAAGAGATAAGGACAGAAAATGTGGCTTATATGATTTGTGTTACTGGTGATCCAAGAGCTCAAAAGAACAAAAATCCAACACTAAGATATCCCCTGAAATATCTGTTGACTTTTCTGCTGCTGAACTTTGTATTCAGTCACATTCTCTTAGAGTAATGTTTCACTGTGATATTAATCTAAAAGACCGACCCTATCTGGCACTTTCGTAATGTTGTCTTCATACCATTATTCTGTTCCAGCAGGCTTTTAACATAGAAGGGGAACTTTTTCTGTTGATATTTTAATCTTTTTATACTTGTTTGTATTTTGTGTTTTTTTTTGTTTTTTTACTTTTATGTGGTTTTAATTGTTCTGCAGTTTTATTGTGAATGTTTTCTAAAGTTATTTTGGAAGTTGTCTTGGGTCCCACTTTGGGAAAAGTACATCTTCTATTCAATCAATGAATTATTGGAAAGGCAAGATTCTCACCCTCTCCCTTTTCAGTCTCCTGTTGCATTAATTTAGCGCAAAGTTTAATTTAGTGCAAAGAACAATTCAGGTCAGAGAGGGAATGTGGAAGGAAGAGAAAACATTTTAAAAGCAGATGAAAAAGTGGGACAGCAGAAATCTAATCAGTCCAAACAGTTGAAAGGTATTCAAACTGTTGCCTCTGCTCAACCAATGAATTAAAAATGCTATTAACACATAGAAATGGGGTAAAATATAGGTTAGTCATGGGCCAACAGTTTCAGCTGTTTAATTCATGTTTTCGTACCATTTGTTTCATTCAGATGGCACAAAACGGTACACACACACACACACACACACACACACCAGTACGGAAATTTCAGTGAAACAAAAGGAAAGTGGGAATGGTACCCGTTCGGTTGACTGATTTTCGGTGCTTGGCTGCAGGCCTTGGCAGACACGGGTGCTTTCGGCCTACAAGCCACACAGTGCTTGCACATGTGGCATACAGGCCCAGAAAGCAACCATGCCTGCCAGTGCCTAAAAGTGAGGAACAAGGGAGTGTGGGAAGCCCAACCATTGCTGCCAGTAACACAAAAACATTCATTTTTTCAGACCTGGGATTAAAAACAGCTCATTCGGAAAGGTGTCTGTTTTCGTGAAAGGCACTCAAAAACTAAAACTGAGCTTTACAAATGAAAGAAACAGAAACAGATAGCAATTCTATACAAATGCACAAGACTAATACAGGTGTGTTTGATTTTTAAAATTGTCTGGACAGGGCAAGCAATTTGTACAGACCTAAAAGATCCATTCAAATATTTCTTACTTGGTTTCATTTTGAACCCAAGGCAGAAAAAAAATCTGTGCTTTTCAGTGAAAGACAAAAAAAATGAAAGCTGTTATTTCATTTGTATGCAGTGTTCAACAAACTGGTATGGAAGAGGTTATTTTGCTGCTAATGAGCACTTTATCTGACCCTTTGCCTCTGTTGCTTTGTTGTCCAGTGGTGCTTCACAGGGGAGTGCATAACCGTGGGCAAGAGCCCCGAAGCTGTTCATGGTGGATGGGGGCCGTGGTCACCATGGTCACATTGCACACGGACTTGTGGAGCCGGCGTTCAGACGGCGGAGAGGCAGTGCAATAACCCAGAGTGAGTTTTATCCCAGATCTTTCTTGATACCTCAGTTTTTTTGTAAAATGAACGTATTGTTTCCAGACATGAAATTCCAGAATATCAGGTGCCTTTAAACATCCTTCCATATTTTTATCATTTGCATTAAGATCAGCAGTAACAGCCGTGCTTGTTGGTCTCCCATAAAGTAAAATAAATTATCAGCCATCATGAACATTACTTTTCCAACAAGTGCCAGTTTTGGGTAGGGAGGGTGCTTAGCTTTTATGGCACAGTAGAAATATTTTGCCCTTTCGCAGTGTTGAGGATCTCGTATGCCTCAAGTGCTAATAATGCCAATTAAACCCATTTGAATCCCAGGTGGTAACACAACAAAATGTGGAAATGGCAAAAGGATGTGAATAATTATGCAAAACATTGTACCAACCCAGTGTACAGTAGGTCTGCTGCATCATTGGGGATTCAATTCCAGTACTCACCACAGATGTGGAAAAATGGGTGCAATCATGCCTCATATGATTAAATGGCAGTGATGTGAATGGGCATGCTATTTACTAATACATGGTTCAATGATTGCTGGAAACTGCCAATCTGGATCAGGCAAATTTGAAGGCCCTACTGTATCTCTAAATAATAGGTGCAAAGAACACATACTTTGCAGCCCCACTTATAAATTGCTTATTGACTGCTGTTGGAACAGAATACTGAATAGATGGACCTTGAATCGCAGTAGTAAAAGCGAGGATAAAGCAGTGGTAGGAGCAGTCTCCTTCAACTTCGATGTGATTGGGCTTTCAGTTCACATCATAGTCAGCTGTGCTGGCGAGAGTCAGAACTTGGAAAATTACTCTAAAGAATAATTTTAATATATAATAATAATAATAATAATAATAATAATAATAATACTTTATTTATACCCCGCTATCATCTCCCCAAGGGTCTCGGTGCGGCTTACATGAGGCCGAGCCCATAATACAACAATCCAAGCAATACAAACAGTAACAAATACAGTACAAAGCAATTAAAATAAATCTCATACACAAATATAATGACATACTGAAGCCATCAATATCTGAGCAATGGCAAGGTGATGCTCTGAATCACAGACTTATTGATGCGTCAGCATGCCCCTTAAAGTCCTGCGATTCTATGAAATTATTTCCATGTCGTAGCTGGAGCTGATGTCAGTTGTGATCTCAAACATCTGGAAGGCAATAAGTTGACAAATATTAGGTTAGAACTTGGATGGTTAATTGTGGCTCACAGGCTACATGTTCTTCTTGGAATCCCCAAAAGACTGTTTCTGACCCCACTAAAAAAAAACCTATTCTCAAATTTGGACACCATTTTTAGGCAACTGATGTCATTGGAAGAAAGGCACAATGTAAATGTAATTGATAAATGTTTATGGTCTTAACATCAAAGCTTCTCATGTCACTTTCAGACCACAATTTGGAGGAAAGTATTGTACAGGAGAGAGAAAACGCTATCGGATGTGTAATATTAAACTGTGCCGAAAAGTTACACCAAACTTTCGGCAGATGCAGTGCAGTGAGTTTGATACAGTCGCCTACAAAAATGAGTTCTACCAGTGGATTCCAGTTTATAACCCAGGTAAGGATAGGGCTGGTGGGAAGTTTGGTGGGCAACCAGGATACAAAGTTAGTCAACAAACATTTCAGTGCATTAAAGTTTTTTGATAATGTGTGGAGTATGCATTTCTAGGAAAATACCTAAGTTCTCTTTACAATGGTGATACACATTGGAATGGGCTTCTTTTGCTAATTTCTAATTCCTGTTAGCTTTACAGCATTCCCTTCAAAAGTATGAGGGGATATTACTCAGTGACAATGTGGTTCTTCAAAGTAGTCTTAAAGAAATGGAGAAAAGTATTTGTCATTTTGTATCAGGAGGGGGGCACACAAGCTGGGATGAGGACCAGCATGGTCTAGTGGTTTGAGCTTTGGACTATGACTCTGGAGGGTTTGACTGAACTTGGGCAAGTCACCCTCTATCAGCCTCAGAGGGGGTAATAGCAAATATTTTTTAGATGGAAAACCCTGCAACAGGTTTGCCTTTGGGTCACCATAAATCATAAATGACTTCAAAGGAACACAACAACATACAAATGTGACCTGGACACCTTTCACACTATGCGTTTACAGTTCTGTCATTTCACTTCAGCTGTCTTAGTTGCATTGTATAGACTCCTGTGTTGTTGTTGTTGTTGTTGTTGTTTGGTGAGGCACTCAAGCTCTCTTTCTGAGTATAAATATCTCTTCCTAAACTGCTAAACCCAGTGGTAAATGATATTTTTAGTGCTGTAACTGCATAGTGTGATATCCTGGTACCCTCCAGAATGACATCTCTCATTATTACTTAAGTTTGGTTATGTTAGATGGTGATGGTGGGAGTTTTAGTCTTATACCTCTGAAGATCATAAGTGTGCTTTTCATTACCCAGAGAATTCTAATTTTACTACATTATCTTAGGAAGTTACTTGACTAAAACTGTTTTTTTCTTGATAACGTGTTATGATGGACTATAGAGTTCTTTGGTTCTAGATCTTCAACACAGATAAGGAAGATTTGTTTTCTTCATCAGAATAGCTTCAGATTAGTGTTAAAATGCAAAGATGAGCTACTTTGCTTCTACTTCACCCAATGAACGTTCCATCCAGAGGTTTTCAAATTGCTTTGGATTCCCTCAGGCACATTTCTAAACTTTCTGAATCAATTGACAGAGAAGTGACAGATTGCTCTCCACTCTCAGTTTTCTCTTGCAGTGTGTGAATTCAGGGGGAGTGTTGTATGCATTCCCAAGCAAAAAATATAGAAAAATCTCTGGGCTACTTTGAAAATAGCTTTTATCTTAGACTATCTGAGAATCCTGTACCGAAGGCACCAGGTTTTCACAGCAAGTAGATTGAAAAGGTCTTTCAAGGTCGGACATGAGGAGTTGGATGGGGAAAACAATGGCCCGTCATTCAGTTTCTGTGCATGGGTTGAGGTAGACCATTCAAAATGGCACTATATCACAAACAAGAAGGATTTACCAGCAGGAATGGGGAAACCCAAATATTTGTGGGAATGTCGATATAAAGGAGACCCCCTTCCCCCAATGGCTTTGTGAGGATTGCATGTGCTCCAATTGACTAATTTCTGGGGGGAAATGCAGAAATACAGGGCTGGGAATGAAATAGAGAGGCTAGAATCCGGAGGTAAAGGTAAAAGTTTTCCTTTGACATTAAGTCTAGTTGTGCCCAACTCTGGAGGGTGGTGCTCATCTCCATTTCTAACCCGAAGAGCCGGCGTTGTCTGAAGGTGCCTCCAAGGTCAAGTGGCCAACATGACTGCATAGAGCACTGTTACCTTCCCACAGAAGTGATACCTATTGATCTACTCACATTTGCAGGTTTTTAAGTGCTAGGTTGGCAGATGCTGGGGCTAACAGTGGGAGCTCACCCTGCTCCCTGGATTCAAACCCCAACCTTTCGGTCAGCAAATTCAGCAGTTTAGCAGTTTAACCCACTGCATTACCCATAGAGTCCAAAAACCAACAATTAATGCTGCAGTACTTTATTGCAGGTCCTAATTGGTGGCTTCAAAATGTTTACTAATTCACTTATATAAAGTGTACTGCAGCACTTCTTCCTGATAGGTATTGATTTAAATGTGTGCAGAGACGAATTAGAATTAAACCTAATTGCCATGATAATTAAAGCTAAGCAGTTCTTCACCCAGTTTTTGCTTTGATGTGAAGGAAACCAAGGAGCAGCAGGTAAACCTCCTGCTTTTCCTAATGGAAGAAGAAAAATTATACTTGATAGCAAATAAATACAATTACCCATTGACTAATGCAAAGGCTGATCTAAAAATGCACCAACCAAGCAACAACAAACAAAGAAAAACAGTGTGTAACTTATGCCTGAAATGTGATTATTATTCCAAACCAGGTGTGGGAGACAGCAGTATTTAAAATGACCAGTCAGGCTCCTAACAGCAGTGATTTTCCTCCACTTCTTTGTTATGCTCAATTGCCATGAGAAAATTGCAGCAGGGAGAGAATTAAAACATAAAGAACCATTCTGACAAATTTGCTATGAATTCCGGAAGGATACAGGTCATCAGGCAAACATAAATATAGAGCTCCCTATGTGTGCAGTTTTGCAATGTTTTTAGCAGTTTGCAGATGTGAGCACTTTAGCCTAATGTGAGCCCCCCAAAACCATGTAAGAGTGAGGTGTAGAGATACGTAGAGCCATGTTTTCAGAAGGAAGGAAGGAATCATAGAATCATAGAATCAAAGAGTTGGAAGAGACCTCATGGGCCATCCAGTCCAACCCCCTGCCAAGAAGCAGGAAAATTGCATTCAAAGCACCCCAACAGATGGCCATCCAGCCTCTGTTTAAAAGCTTACAAAGAAGGAGCCTCCACCACACTCTGGGGCAGAGAGTTCCACTGCTGAACGGCTCTCACAGTCAGGAAGTTCTTCCTCATGTTCAGATGGAATCTCCTTTCTTGTAGTTTGAAGCCATCTTAGCTCCTAGTCTCCAGGGAAGCAGAAAACAAGCTTGCTCCCTCCTCCCTGTGGCTTCCTCACATATTTATACATGGCTATCATATCTCCTCTCAGCCTTCTCTTCTTCAGGCTAAACATGCCCAGCTCCTTAAGCCGCTCCTCATAGGGCTTGTTCTCCAGAACCTTGATCATTTGAGTCTCCCTCCTCTGGACACATTCCAGCTTGTCAATATCTCTCTTCAATTGTGGTGCCCAGAATTGGACACAATATTCCAGGTGTGGTCTAACCAAAGCGGAATAGAGGGGTAGCATGACTTCCCTAGATCTAGACACTATGCTCCTATTGATGCAGGCCAAAATCCCATTGGCTTTTTTGCCGCCACATCACATTGTTGGCTCATGTTTAACTTGTTGTCCATGAGGACTCCAAGAACTTTTTCACACATACTGCTCTCAAGCCAGGCATCCCCCATTCTGTATCTTTGCATTTCGTTTTTTCTGCCTAAGTGGAGTATCTTGCATTTGTCCCTGTTGAACTTCATTTTGTTAGTTTTGGCCCATCTCTCTAATCTGTCAAGATCATTTTGAATCCTGCTCCTGGAAGGAAGGAAGGAAGGAAGGAAGGAAGGAGGGAGGGAGGGAGGGAGGGAGGGAAGGAGGGAGGGACTAAAATCCTATTCTTAAAAAAAAGTAACACACTGGACCAGAGTGTAAGAGTTCGCCTTCAATTCAAGGAAATTGAGTACAGTTATCCAGTTAGGATGATTTAAAATATATATATATTTGGCTTATATGCCAGCCAAAAATTTGTGCTAAGGAAGCTAAGGGACACATGGATAACTAGCTCATTTAATGAACCATTTTTCACCTCTGTTTGTATGTTTGCACTACAACTCTCCAATTACATTCTGAAATTGTATTTGACTAATGTATCATTTGGACTTTTGGATTTCCCTCCAGCTAATCCTTGTGAACTTCAGTGTCGTCCTGCAAACAACCACTTTTCAGAAAAAATGCTAGACGCTGTTATTGATGGCACACCTTGCTTTGAAGGAAACAACAGCAGAGACGTCTGTATTAATGGCATGTGTAAGGTATTGGGTATGTTTCCTTCTCTGAACATTTCATTTACAGATCAAAGTTGATGTCTTAAATTGTGATGTTGCTCTGTATGTTCTTTAAATAGAGTTATCACATGCATCCATAGTTAAGGAATTTAGGGGTAAGTGTGAAGTTGGGCATGACCTGAGTGGATGCCTAATGGAGAAATTCATGGAAATTGAATATTTCCTGATGTGAGTTTGAGGGAATCCGAAACTTGTTCCTATTGAAGTTTCAACCCTGTATTCATTTTCTCAGAAGTTAACTTTAAACAAACATTTCATTTATTATATTTTACACCATCTTAAAACTACGATAATAAATATTTTAATTTCTTAGTAAAACTGTTATGAATATAAAATGGAAGGGGGAAGGAAGGAGATAAAAATGTGAGTAAACACATATTGCAATATGCAGTCTGTGTTTCCCATGCACTCCAAGACTGATATTGTGGCTCATTCCTGCTAAATCCAGGAGATAGGCTTTTGACCCTCCAATTAATGTCTGGGGTGAATTTTTTCCCATTTCCCCACATTTTATGGGTGATTTTGAGCCCATCCCCTTATGCTCCAAGAGATCATCCTTCATCCAGGCCTTTGTTCAAAACAGAAAGTAATCAAATAGTTTGCTTTACTCATGTTTGCCTACAGCTCTTTTCTCTTGGGCCAAGCTGCGTCCATCAAAATGAGAATTTTGCATGCCTTTCCCCCACCTACTTCCCATACACACTGCAGAATTATAGCAGTTTGACACCACTTGAACTGTCACTGTGAAGTCTTGGCTCTGCCTTTTCCTCTCCTCTGCTTCAGTACCCCCTGTTTATTGGTTTTCCCAATAAACAGTAGATGCCTTCCTTTGTATTAGTTTTTGGGTGAAGCATAACACCCACCCACCCCCCGAGGCCAGCCTTAGTTGGTCTATTCCATTTCCCTGTATAGAGCTCTCTTGCTGGATTCCTCCCTTTTTTACAGTCACTAAAGGCTCGAGGCTTGTCTGGTAATCCTAGTCCCAAGCAATCCAAAACCAGGCATCCTTAGCACCTGTATTCACCAGTCCAAAGGACACCAGAAGCTTATAACCAGCTTAAGCTTCACAAGATAGAAGATTAAGATAGTTTGTAGGCAACAACTTGTACACCATCGCTTTGCACCAGAGACAGAAGACTCCAGACAGGTGACTACAACCAGCAAAATCTCCTGTTGTAATGTATTATTTTAAGTTACCTTATGATAGTCCCGGATGGCATTAACCCTTTATTCATCTTGTTTGCCGTAAACTCATTTTGGTTATCTTTTCACCTTACCTAAAGTGCCTCTGTGTGCTAAGGGTCTTGATCATATCAGAAAGTATACAGATAGCCCCTGAGTAAAGCCAGACACTATAGTTTTCCCAAAGGCTCAGGTATGCCATCATAGTCATAGCTCCATCCTATGGAATGCTGGAGTTTGTATTTTGTTGTGCACCAGAGCTCTCTGATGGAGAGAGCTCTCTCTCTCCATCAGAGATCTCTCAAAACTACAACTCTCGGGATTCCATAGCATAGAACCAGTGTTTCTGAAACTGTGCTCCTCCAGGTGTTTTGGACTTCAGAAATCCCAGCCAGCTTACCTTCTGTTAGGAATTGTGGGAGTGGAAGTCTAAAACGTCTGGAGGAACACAGTTTGAGAAACACTTCATTGAGCCATGCTAGTTAATGTGGTGTCAAATTGCTATAATTTTGCAGTGTGAAAACTGGAGAATCAGGTCCAGGCCCTGAATCTAGCAACCCTTCATCAATATCATGTTCCAAGATAAATGCCTGAAATAGAAGATGGCAGAGCACGAGCCTGGTTCCCATTAATTTATCATCCCTAAATCTGAGCTATCTGCAATTTCCAAACTGCTTTTAGAGGAAACTCAAACCAGAAAGATACCAAAGAATGTTGTTGTGAAATGAATTTCCTGATAGGGAGCCCAAAAGATCCCTCCAGGACTTTTGCAAGTTTTTAATAGGAATGGCCTTGAGGAGTAATAACATGTCACATGGACAGGTCTTGCAAATCCATCAAGCAGGTCTATTTGCTGAAAATTGGGCTTCAGGGATGATAGTTTTATGGGATGCCAAATAATTGCTTTGATGATGGCACAGATAAGTGGTCCTTTTCATTTATTTGTTACTGCTAAACTATTGTGACCTTTCCAATTCATTCATTGCTACAGATGATGGACAAATCATATAAAGCATGGGTTTTAACTCTGTTCCATTTAGTAAGGTTTTGTGGTGTGGCATTTTGAAGACAATTCAAGAGAATAAAAGCCATCTTGTCCTAATAGCACTGTGATGACAACTTTCTCATGATCTCTAATAATCAACTTGTATCTGAATAAGTGAATAAACAATGAAATGACTAACTAGTGTGATGTAGCAGTGGTATAGTTTTAGAGCGTGGGAATTGTATTTCATTGGTTCAGTTCAGATTTTCACTCAGCCGTAAAGCTTGCTAGGGACCTTGGGTCAGGCATTACATTGTTTTTGGGATAAAATGAGGAGCAGATGGTATGCAGGACTTTTTGCTCCTTGGAGGAGAGGGGAGATATAAAAATAATAATCCAAAAAATACTATCTATAGTACTATAGTTTCATAAGCTTGGCAGTGGAGAGTGCCCAACACAATTATTTCATGTGTTCCAAAAATCCTGTTCAGGCATGCACCTAAACTGTGGCCCTCTGGATGTTGTTGGTTTCTGGCTCTCATAAGTTCTACACAGCATAGGCAATGATGAGAAATTCCGGAAACTAGATTCGAACAATACCTGGTTACATAAGCCTCTTGTAGAAGTATGGTGGCAAACATTCTGGATCTGCCACCTCCTTCATGTTCGCTCCACCCTCTTTGGCCACCAACTACACTTGGTTTGCTTCCTTAACAGATGCCATTGCCCCAATTATGATGCAGAAGGGGTTGAATAGCAAGGTCTAAAAAGGTGTTCTGTTCACAATAGTAGTACAATTCAGAACTCTGGTAGAGTAAAATACAGCATATAGACATCTCAACAGGGTATGGGCTACATAAGCCAGAGGTCATCTGGAGTGAGGTACTCTGGATCAGCTCCAGGGACCCCACACAACCAGCCTCCAATCTGGCTCAGAATTTGCATCGCTATCCTTACCATTCCCATCACATCTTCAGCTTAGTGGTGACCTCCAATTGCAGAATTGATGGTAGTTATTATCCATCACATGTATTGACTCTGGCTGGATGAAGCATCAGAGCAACGCAAGAGAAGAGAGGATGGAAAGGAAGAATCACCCCTTCTTTCCCACCTCTGTTTTCTCATTGCTCTGGCACTCCATCCAATTCTATTTCATGTGACAAGCCACGATGCCCAGTGGTCACTGCCTAGCTGAAGACACAATGAGATGGTAAGTGCAATTCCTTGCTTCCAAGCCACCTGAGCCCAGGGAAAGCACAATGGCTGTGGACCAGTGGTGACTGTTTGAATCAGAGCTGGCTCAGTTATAGACATACTCAAAGTGCACGTGAGCCCCAGAGCTTTGGGGCATCTGCATCCCCAAATTTAGGGTTAAGCACCTTGCTGGACATTGGGGTGGCATTGTGTGTCATGTGGATGCTACAAAGTCCATTAACCATCAGCCCACCTCACTTGCCTTGTGTAGATGGGTCCAGAAAAGGCAGAAACTAACACACATTGCCATTCATGCTTCCACCACTCCCCCCACCCTTATAAATTTAAGGTCTTGTGTGCCCTGGCAAATGCCCAACCAGGATCATTATGTTACTGGGATAAGGATAGAAAGAAATATGGGGGAAGGCAGCTCTGTGCTTTTGATAATGTTACGATGTGTCCTTGCAATGCTGTCCCCTATCTCATGCTCCCATAGACTCCCCGCACCTTATTTATTAATCACTAAAGACAATTTTTTGCTTCATATACAGGTTGAAACAGATGAAAACTAGAGTTTCAATAATGTACGAATCACTAAAAGACCACAAAATCCCCATGAAACAGGTTGCCATCCCAAAAGTGAAACCAATACTCTACTTCTGTTGCCATGACATTATACAGAGCTACAAATAATCTTTGCAGAAGTAAAGCAACCGTGCTAAAACCATACCCTTTTAACTGTTCATTTGGCACTATGTAGCTTTTCAGTTGAAGGTGTTTGAAAGCATATAAATGGATGAATGCAATTACTTATTTAATAGGTTTCTATTCTACCATTCCATTTTTAAAAATCGCAGATTTTGAAATAATGGAGTGAAAGGATGTGCTAAAATGCAGGATTGCATGCAATATTGGACAGCACAATTAGTTTATTTATAAACAAATGTATAATAAATGTAATAATTATGAAAAAAAAGAAATGCTTCCTCTACAAACTTTAAATCTTGAAATATCCTGAGCCATAAGTACAAGTGAAGCATAGTACAAAAGATGAAAACAAATAAAGTCTAACTCCATAGCTAGTTCACGTTAAAGTAGATTTGCTGTATGACTTGTTGAATAGTAAGTCAGGACATGTGTAAATCCTTTTGGTTCAATTGGTCTCTCATATTTAGGACTAATAACTGTATTTAACATATAAATAGATATCTGCCTAGCATATAAAAGTCTTAAGTCCTTCCTAGGTAAGCCTCCTTAAGTGACCATCCCATAGGCAGTATACATCAGATCAGAACTTGGGAAAGTTAACTTTATGGAGGGCAGTTCCCCAAATTCATCATTCAGCGTGGCCACTGGTTTTGCTGTGGTCCTGATGATCTGAAACCTATGTTTTCCAAGCTCTGCCTTAGATCAAGTAACTCTTTGATGACCTCGGTGACGAGGTCATCAAACAGTGCTTTTCTTTCTGATGGTGGAAGACAGAGAAATGAAAGACCAGAGTTACTTCTTTTGTAATTTTGCAGTCCAATTGGCTTTCATAACACAGTTTCCCTAAAGGTTTCTTCTGTCATTACAAATCGCCTTCTTATGGCCGTGGCAGCCAAATAAGCAAGGGAAGTCATTCTACTTGCTGTTTGTTGATTCAGTACTGAACTGGGAGAAGCAAGTTATTTCTTCTTCCCTGGACACGGATTTCAGGTTTTCAAAGATATTGCATTTCTTTGAAAATAAATGCCTACAAAGAAATAAGACACCCTCCCTCTTTCCCGCACTTCTATGATTCTATGAAAATTGGTACCAGTAATGGGACCAGTATTTTGGCATCCATGAGAGGTTCTTGAATCAAATCCCTGCAGATATTGAGGGTTCTTTGTATATGTAAAGGTGGAAGTTTCAGAAGAGTTTGTTCAGTCATACCTTTCCAGATGCTCAGCTCACTTACTAAGAACAAGGCTCCCTTCTCTTAGCTGTAATTCAGTATGTGTGTGTAAGGGAGAATTAACATGCCACAGGAATCTTCACTGTTATTAACATTAAAGATTTTTAAAAGCCTATTTCCAAAATCAATGAAACATCAACTGATTAAGAAATCACAGACAGTTGATTATGCAAGCGTCCTTTGAAGTCATTGCTCTTTCATGTCTGATTCCAAAAGCAGCTGATTAAAAAAAGAGGGAAGCATTTGAGAGAGGTCTATTGCTAAAATTCCAGGTATCAGGAGTACCTGTCTTGAAGGATAAATGTGTTCCCAGTACATTGGGTCCTCAATATATAGTGGGGTTTGATTCCAGGATCCCCCCATAGATACAAACCCCATGGATGCTCTAGTTCCATTATATTCAGTGGTGTAGAAAAATGGTGTTTCATATATAAAATCAGGATTTGCTTTTTGGATTTCCAAAAACATTTCAAGCCATGGTTGGCTGAATTTGGGGATAAGGAGGAACGGCTGTATTGAGATGCTTTCTGACATGAATGCAGTTGGATATCATTAGTAGCTCCCCATGTGGGCACACTCATTATAGAAGTAGAAGCAGAGCTAGGTTAGAAGAGTGCTCTCCTATCTTCTGCCCAGCAATGTTGTTTTTTGATTCCATCCTAAGTAGTAGAGTTGCCAATTCAGGCCTTGAGGTTTCCAAGCAGCACCTGCGATGCCATTAAGTGTTATGAATCAACTACCAACCATAATCATCCACAGTTTTGTCATTGAAACACACATCTTATTAGCAGGCCCAAATAAAGTATATTCATTGACCCAATTGTTGAATAAAGGTTGAGTTTCCCTTATCAACAATTCCCAAATCCTCCAAAATTGTCCACATGGGAGGCTGAGATATGACACCTTTGCTTTCTGATGGTTCAATGTTAATGACTTTGTCTCATGTACAGTATTGTTTAAAATATTTTATAATGTTATGATCAGACTATGTGGATAAAGTGTATAGGAAACATAAATGAAATGTATATTTATACTTGGGTCCCCTCTCCAAGATGTCTCATTATGGATGCATATGTAAAGAAAAGTATTCAAAAATCCACAAACATCTGAAATCTGAAACTTTTCTGGTTTCAAACATTTTGGATAAGGAATACTCAACCTGTAACAAATAGTCAACATATTGTTGAAGGCTTCCATGACTGGAATCACTGGGTTGTTGTAGGTTTTTCGGGCTATATGGCCATGCTCTAGAAGCATTCTCTCCTGTGAGGTCTCTGAGGATGCCTGCCATAGATGCAGGCGAAACATCAGGAGAGAATGCTTCTAGAACATGACCATATAGCCTGAAAAACCTACAACAACCCAAATTGTCACCAGTTATGTAAATCCCATTAAATCAATGGGTCTAACCAGACATGGGGAAACTTCGGCCCTCCAGGTGTTTTGAACTTCAACTCCCATAATTCCTAACAGCTGGTAGGCTGTTAGGAATTGTGGGAGTTGAAATCCAAAACATCTGGAGGGCCAAAGTTTCCCCATACCTATTCAAACCCAATAAGGACTAACAGCAGACTTTAGGCTAGGGTCTTTTTCAAACCTAGGGATTATTAAACAGGGTACTTTCTCAGGTGGTGGTCTCACAAAGCCATAGGTCTCTTTTGGGACCAATAGTAAAATCCTTTTCTTCTTTTGAAGCCAGTGGAGTCCAGGATCAGTCCCACCAGAGAGATAGTGAAAAGTAAGATCTGTGTTGACATGTGCATTTTTCTATTTTGAATAATTGATTTGTGAAAATGTGAAACAGTGAAATTGTCAGTGTTTAGTTAGTTTTGTCACAAATACAATATTTCTTCTCAAAGTGTTTTTTTTTTCCTTTTCAGACGGTTGGCTGTGATTATGAGATAGATTCCAATGCAACTGAAGATCGATGTGGGGTTTGTCAAGGGGATGGGTCCTCCTGCCAGACAGTGAAGATAACATTCAATCAGAGTGAAGGATTAGGTAAAGATTTTTTTCCATATCACTTTGCTATCTCAGTTTAGTAAACAATAGCTGCTGAAATGCTCTCTGTTGGGAAAAAAGGGGGAAAGCTGCCTCCTCTAAGAACCATGTAATCAGCTGGGAGGTATGTGTATGTGAGACATCCAAGATGGAGCAATAGAAAATATTAATATTTAGTCATGAAATAAAAGGTGAAACACAGTTAGTAGGAACAAGATCTTTGAAGTTTGCTCTGATGGCTTTTGTCCTGCTTATAAAAGTTATGAGCATCCAGGTTATCCTATTAGAAATGCTAGAGTAACACCTTTGTTCAGATCAATTAATTTATTTATCATGTCAGAAAAGAACCGAGGGTATAGTTGTAATGTATTTAAAAACACAAAGTTTAAAAACTTGGCATTATACTAAATGTTCTTTGACCAGTGGCTGGCCATTAGGAGTGCCTCTGGTGTTGCTATAAGAAGATCCTCCATTGTGCATGTGGCAGGGCTTAGACTGCGTTGTAATAGGTGGTCTGTGGTTTGCTCTTCTCCACACTGTCATGTTGTGGACTGCACTTTGTGGCCCCATTTCTTAAGGTTGGCTCTGCATCTCGTAGTGCCAGAGCGCAGTCTGTTCAGCTCCTTCCAAGTTGCTGAGTCTTTTGTGTCCAGGAGGGAGTCTCTCATTCTGAATCAGCCATGGCCTTTGGTTCTGGGTTTGAGCCTGCCACTTTTGGACTTTTGCTTGCTGAGGTGTTCCTGCAAATATCTCTATAGATCTTAAAAAAACTATTTCTTGATTTAAAGGAAGGAGCCTGAGGCTGTTGACATGCTGGCTGATATCCGAACAGGGGATGGGTTGGAGATGTCACTGCCTTGGTTCTTTCATTGTTGGCTGCTACTTCCAAGATGACAGGTGGTGCAATATCGGCTAAACAGTATAATGTCTCCAGTGGTGTGGGACATAGACATCCTGTGCTAATGCAGCATGTCTCATTAAGAGCCACATCCATTATTTTAATGTGGTGAGATGTGTACCACACTGGGCATACATATTCAGCAGCAGAGAAGCATAGTGCAAGGGCAGATGTCTTCACTATGTCTGGTTGTGATCCCCAGGTTGTGCCAGTCAGCTTTTGTATGTTATTATTTCTAGCACTCACTAGCAGTTCTTGTATGTCAGAGCACGGTCCAGGGTCACTCCCAAGTATTTTGGTGTACTGCAATGCTTCCAGTAGGATTCCTTCCCAGGTAATCCTCAGAGCTCAAGATGCTTGTCTGTTCTTAAGATGAAAAACTTATGTTTGTGTTTTAGATGGATTAGGAATCAGCTGGTTTCCCCTGTAATAGACAGTGAGAACACCTAAAGCTTTGGAGAGCTTCTATTCAACCATTTCAAAGCTCCCTGCTTGGGTGGTGATGGCACGATCATCAGCATAGATGAAACTCAGACCAATTAAATTGTGACCATTAGGTTTTGAAATTACCAGAATATTGAACAGGAAAGAAAAGGTGTAATTTTAATATGTGCAATAGGGCTTTATATAAGAACTCTATCAAGAAGTAACTGTTTAGATTTTGAGCAAAATTCCTGAAAGTCTTGTTTTATACCAGTAAAAAATATGCAACTGTATACAAATTTATATAGAAACAGGATGATTTGGAAGAGTTTATCACTTTGTTTACATTTGTCACATTTGGCTTAAATATTTTTTATTTCTAAGAATAGGTTCTCACTTCAACCAGATAAGAATATCAAGAGATTAAAAAAAAAACATTTTAGCTGCAGTGAAAAGTTGTCTGGGGGCTTAAAACTACAAAACCGACACTCTGAACAAAACTAAGCATTTGTTCCTTTTGCTATGGAAATTACAAAGCATACCTTAATACATCACAGCTACACCACTAATTAATAGTTCACATTTCTTTGGACCTGCATACTTGGCAGGCTATGTAGGTCCATCCTTAATGAACCTCTATTTCATAATTTCTACTTCATTAGCATGGTGACCCCATATCTGGAGGTGAGTATTTTCATAGGGTAATGAGAAAAAGTGTACAAAAGATTTTCTGTGGTCTTTTTGTGCCAGTTCCCAATTCCACCTACTTCTGGCACTATCTGTTCTTTACATTCTGTGGTTGTCAAACTAGACATAAACAGAAGGATACAGCGCGGATTCCTTCTATCTGAGTCATAAGAGAGATGGCATAAGGGAAAGGCAAGCCAACTTTTTTTCTTAAATTAACACCCCTAACCAGGAGCACAAATCCCAGTTCTTCCCAATTTGTTTTCCCAGTTCACCCTATCATTCCCTCCTGTGGCATGAAACTTTTATAGATTATAGGTGTCACAAGTCCCATGTTGACCATGTTTAGCCAAGGACACAAAGAATTCACATCCTTGCATTTTTACCTGTTTTCCATGCTTGTGTTGCTTTGCCATTATCACTGATATCTCTAGGGCAATGATTCTCAACCTGTGGTTCCCCTGGTGTTTTGACCTACAACTCCCGGAAATCTCAGCCAGTGTATCAACTGTTAGGATGTCTGAAGGCCAAAACATCTGGGGACCCAGGCCGAGAACCACTGCTCTAGGAAGAAGTGCACAGGGGCCTACATTGCATATTCATCAGAAGTACTCCACTTAGACAGAAAAAATGAAATGCAAAGATACAGAATGGGGGACACATTCTGTATCTTGAGAAAAGTACGTGTGAAAAAGATCTTGGAGTCCTCGTGGACAACAAGTTAAACATGAGCCAACAAAGTGATGCGGTGGCAAAAAAAGCCAATGGGATTTTGGCCTGCATCAATCGGAATATAGTGTCTAGATCCAGGGAAGTCAGGCTACCACTCTATTCTGCCTTGGCTAGACCACATCTGGAATACTGTGTCCAATTCTGGGCACCACAATTGAAGGGAGATGTTGACAAGCTGGAATGTGTCCAGAGGAGGGCGACTAAAATGATCAAGGGTCTGGAGAACAAGCCCTATGAGGAGTGGCTTAAAGAGCTGGGCATGTTTAACCTGAAGAAGAGAAGGCTGAGAGAGACATGATAGCCATGTATAAGTATGTGAGAGGAAGTCATAGGGAGGAGGGAGCAAGCTATTTTTATGCTGCCCTGGAGACTAGGATGCGGAACAATGGCTTCAAACTACAAGAAAAGAGATTCTACCTGAACATTAAGAAGAACTTCCTGACTGTGAGAGCTGTTCAGCAGTGGAATTCTCTGCCCCAGAGTGTGGTGGAGGCTCCCTCTTTGGAGGCTTTTAAACAGAGGCTGGATGGCCATCTGTCGGGGGAGCTTTGGATGCAATTTTCCTGCTTCCTGGCAGGGGGTTGGACTGGATAGCCCATGAGGTCTCTTCCAACTCTATGGTTCTATGATTCTAAGTAACAACTTACCTCAGTTCAAGTGTTTCAGTATCCTTATGGGTCCTTGCAAATGGAGAGTTGGTCTGCCAAGGGAGCATTTTCCAGGATACATGTATAAGCCTTAAGAGTACATAATAAACATTATCCTAGAGAAAATATAACATAGACATAGTTGTATGTTTTGTTCCCTATTGTTGAACAGTAAATAGAGCCCCCTCCTCTCTCTTTCTCTCTCTTTGCTCATATATGTCTTTCTGCATTGCTTGGCACTGTTATCAAAGTTAGTAAGTGTTAGTGAGGTTTGTGACAACTTGTGTTCTAAATGCAAAGGTGTTTCCCTTCTATTATTGGGCCCCATGATGGTAGACTGTTCAACACCATATCAATATATGTATGTTGAAGGATAATAAGAGAGGTTGGTATTCTAATCAGGCAAGACGTGAGCACCTCTTCCGTGTTTGCCACCCTTTTAGCAAAAGTGGGAAGAATTTGGCATATATTCTTTGCCAAATAGATCCACAGATTTTGGCTTGACTCAAACTATATATTGCCCCCATTAATCCTAAAGATGCAAAGAAAAACAACCTACACATGTTCACTTTTGTCTTCTGAACAATGAACCTCTGTTTTGATGTGCCAGTTTCCATTGTGGTACTCCTTTAGTCTTTTGCTGGTTCCTTAGTTGTGTCCTTGACTTGAGTGTAGAGCATTCATATTTTGATTCCATTAGGATCATTCTAGGCTCTGAGGTTTCTGGGCCAAAACCTGAGACATTGTGACAGCCTTGGTGATATCATTATATATTATGTACCAGTAACATTTGCTCTCAGCTTGTCTCACAGAAGGAATGGGGAGGGGAAGGGGGGGGAGAGAACATATTTCCCTATTTGAAATTGAAGACAGAAATCTTAGCTAAAGGGATTGTTCCTTGATCAAAGTGAAATGAAGGACTGTTCCTTCTCACTTATTTATGGAGACACTTCATCTAAGATATGGAGCAGAAAGTGAATCCTGAGAGGGAAGTAGGAAAGTAAATCAACAAAGAGTATCTTGGAAAGCTACAGCAACAAATCAATAAAACCTTGCACTTGTTTCTGTTTATTTGTTCAGTCACTTCCAACTCTTTGTGACCTCATGGACCAGCCCACGCCAGAGCTCCCTGTCACCACTCCCAGCTCCTTCAAGCTAGTCACTTCAAGGATACCATCCATCTTGCCCTTGATTGGCACCTCTTCCTTTTTCTTTCCATTTTCCCCAGCATCATTATCTTCTCCAAGCTTTCTTGTCTTCTCATTATGTGGACAAAGTACTTCATCTTTGCCTCTAATATCCTTCCCTCTAATGAGCAGTTGGGCTTTATTTCCTGGAGTATGGACTGGATCTTCTTGCAGTCCAAGGAATTTTCCTCCAACACCACAGTTCAAAAGTGTCTTTTCTTCCTTCGCTCAGCCTTCCTTATAGTCTAGCTCTAAATATATAGCCTATAGGACCTGGTATTTACTGATAGCCTCCAATCCAAGGGCTGATCTTGCTAGTTTCTAAGATCAAACAGGATCTGGTGTCTTTAGGGTATTTGGACCTGGTGAGGCCATGAAATCTGGCAATGGTAACCAAGGTAACCATCTATCCATCTTACCTCAAAG